CGACGCTTTCTCTAAGGCTCTTTGTTGGAGTTCCGACATCTGGTTCTCGAGGTAACCGACGCTTTCTCTAAGGCTCTTTGTTGGAGTTCCGACATCTGGTTCTCGAGGTAACCGACGCTTTCTCTAAGGCTCTTTGTTGGAGTTCCGACATCTGGTTCTCGAGGTAACCGACGCTTTCTCTAAGGCTCTTTGTTGGAGTTCCGACATCTGGTTCTCGAGGTAACCGACGCTTTCTCTAAGGCTCTTTGTTGGAGTTCCGACATCTGGTTCTCGAGGTAACCGACGCTTTCTCTAAGGCTCTTTGTTGGAGTTCCGACATCTGGTTCTCGAGGTAACCGACGCTTTCTCTAAGGCTCTTTGTTGGAGTTCCGACATCTGGTTCTCGAGGTAACCGACGCTTTCTCTAAGGCTCTTTGTTGGAGTTCCGACATCTGGTTCTCGAGGTAACCGACGCTTTCTCTAAGGCTCTTTGTTGGAGTTCCGACATCTGGTTCTCGAGGTAACCGACGCTTTCTCTAAGGCTCTTTGTTGGAGTTCCGACATCTGGTTCTCGAGGTAACCGACGCTTTCTCTAAGGCTCTTTGTTGGAGTTCCGACATCTGGTTCTCGAGGTAACCGACGCTTTCTCTAAGGCTCTTTGTTGGAGTTCCGACATCTGGTTCTCGAGGTAACCGACGCTTTCTCTAAGGCTCTTTGTTGGAGTTCCGACATCTGGTTCTCGAGGTAACCGACGCTTTCTCTAAGGCTCTTTGTTGGAGTTCCGACATCTGGTTCTCGAGGTAACCGACGCTTTCTCTAAGGCTCTTTGTTGGAGTTCCGACATCTGGTTCTCGAGGTAACCGACGCTTTCTCTAAGGCTCTTTGTTGGAGTTCCGACATCTGGTTCTCGAGGTAACCGACGCTTTCTCTAAGGCTCTTTGTTGGAGTTCCGACATCTGGTTCTCGAGGTAACCGACGCTTTCTCTAAGGCTCTTTGTTGGAGTTCCGACATCTGGTTCTCGAGGTAACCGACGCTTTCTCTAAGGCTCTTTGTTGGAGTTCCGACATCTGGTTCTCGAGGTAACCGACGCTTTCTCTAAGGCTCTTTGTTGGAGTTCCGACATCTGGTTCTCGAGGTAACCGACGCTTTCTCTAAGGCTCTTTGTTGGAGTTCCGACATCTGGTTCTCGAGGTAACCGACGCTTTCTCTAAGGCTCTTTGTTGGAGTTCCGACATCTGGTTCTCGAGGTAACCGACGCTTTCTCTAAGGCTCTTTGTTGGAGTTCCGACATCTGGTTCTCGAGGTAACCGACGCTTTCTCTAAGGCTCTTTGTTGGAGTTCCGACATCTGGTTCTCGAGGTAACCGACGCTTTCTCTAAGGCTCTTTGTTGGAGTTCCGACATCTGGTTCTCGAGGTAACCGACGCTTTCTCTAAGGCTCTTTGTTGGAGTTCCGACATCTGGTTCTCGAGGTAACCGACGCTTTCTCTAAGGCTCTTTGTTGGAGTTCCGACATCTGGTTCTCGAGGTAACCGACGCTTTCTCTAAGGCTCTTTGTTGGAGTTCCGACATCTGGTTCTCGAGGTAACCGACGCTTTCTCTAAGGCTCTTTGTTGGAGTTCCGACATCTGGTTCTCGAGGTAACCGACGCTTTCTCTAAGGCTCTTTGTTGGAGTTCCGACATCTGGTTCTCGAGGTAACCGACGCTTTCTCTAAGGCTCTTTGTTGGACCTCCAACATCTGGTTCTCGAGGTAACCGACGCTTTCTCTAAAGGCTCTTGGTTGGAGTTCCGACATCTGGTTCTCGAGGTAACCGACACTTTCTCTAAGGCTCTTTGTTGGAGTTCCGACATCTGGTTCTTGAGGTAACTAAAGCTTTCTCTAAAGCTCTTTGTTGGAGTTCCGACATCTGGATCTCAAGGTTACCGACACTTTTTCTAAGACTCTTTGTTGGAGTTCCGGCATCTGGTTCTCGAGGTAACCGACGCTTTCTCTAAGGCTCTTTGTTGGAGTTGCGACATCTAGTTCTTGAGGTAACCGATGCTTTCTCTAAGGCTCTTTTTTGGAGTTCCGACATCTGGTTCTTGAGGTAACTAAAGCTTTCTCTAAAGCTCTTTGTTGGAGTTCCGACATCTGGATCTCAAGGTTACCGACACTTTTTCTAAGACTCTTTGTTGGAGTTCCGGCATCTGGTTCTCGAGGTAACCGACGCTGTCTCTAAGGCTCTTTGTTGGAGTTCCGACATCTGGTTCTCAGATAACCGGCACTTTCTCTTAGGCTCTTTGTTGGAGTTCCGACATCTGGTTCTCGAGGTAATCGACGCTTTCTCTAAGGCTCTTTGTTGGACTTCCAACATCTGGTTCTCGAGGTAACCGACGCTTTCTCTAAGGCTCTTTGTTGGAGTTCCGACATCTGGTTCTCGAGGTAATCGACGCTTTCACTTTCTCTAAGGCTCTTTGTTGGAGTTCCGACATCTAGTTCTCAGATAACCGACACTTTCTCTTAGGCTCTTTGTTGGAGTTCCGACATCTGGTTCTCGAGGTAATCGACGCTTTCTATAAGGCTCTTTGTTGGACTTCCAACATCTGGTTCTCGAGGTACCCGACGCTTTCTCTAAGGCTCTTTGTTGGAGTTGCGACATCTGGTTCTTGAGGTAACCGATGCTTTCTCTAAGGCTCTTTTTTGGAGTTCCGACATCTGGTTCTTGAGGTAACTAACGCTTTCTCTAAGGCTCTTTTTTGGAGTTCCGACATCTGGTTCTCGAGGTACCTGACGCTTTCTCTAAGGCTCTTTATTGGACTTCCGACATCTGGTTCTCGAGGTACCTGACGCTTTCTCTAAGGCTCTTTATTGGAGTTCCGACATCTGGTTCTCGAGTTAACCGACGCTTTCTCTAAGGCTCTTTGTTGGAGTTGCGACATCTGGTTCTTGAGGTAACCGATATTTTCTCTAAGGCTCTTTTTTGGAGTTCCGACATCTGGTTCTCGAGGTAACGGACGCTTTCTCTAAGGCTCTTTGTTGGAGTTCCGACATCTGGTTCTCGAGGTAACCGACGCTTCCTCTAAGGCTCTCGTTTTCTTCTTCTAAAGCTGTAATTCTGCCCAACATCTTTTTTAAGCTCATCTTTGAGAATTGTCAGTTTCTTATCCATGGCCGTCCTAGTGACCATACTGGATAGTATTTTGGTAATTTCCTCAAGTCGTTGACTTATAGCTTGATCACTGTTTTTTCCCGATGATGTCGAAGCTCTAGTTGGTCCACCCATCATAAACGATCTCAATTTTTTCTTAGGTCTCGGAGAAATATCCAATGTATACGTACACCTATACACAAGAATGCACAGGTAAATCACAGGTAAGTATACAAGTAGGTCCGTTAGCAGTTGTCACCGCGGTAAGCACTATGCCATTGAGTATCTTTCAAAGTCCAAAACTCACTTTTCACCAAATTTCATCTATTTTCAGGAAGATGTATGGCTTTCCAATGATGTTAGCCGAACATTGTCCAGATTTTTTCGTTTTCAAAAAGGTTACCAAACAAGAGGCCCAGGGGCCTTAATATCCCACCTGGTATTTTATTTTCAATTTAAAACCTGCTGAGTACCATACAAGTTTATCAAAGGAGTACAAGAAACAAAGTTGCAAGAAGAACTACATGTGTATGTAAATCTGTTTTGGTGGGTTAAGACACCAAGAAAATGAGTTTCCATGTTAAAAACAAAAGTACCGCGGGGCGCGGAACAATATATGCCCGTCGAATGCCATATATATATAGTGTTATATACTTCATATCATGATTATTATGTNATTATCTGGGTCCCAGTAAAGTTGTAAAACTTGATTTTTTGCAATTTTGCGTCGTGTGCTGTTGTCAAAATTTTACCTCCTGTAAAGCTAGCTTTTCATGTGTGCACACCCTTTCGTAACGGTATTATGGCCAAAATTTTATTCTCGAACCAAAGAAATCTTTCTTTTTTACAAATGTGAAGCTCACATAGCCCACTTCATCATGCTTATACCAATTTTAGTACAGTTTTATTTTTATAATTTTTTTACATATCATTATAAAGGGGTTAGCCATTTAACAAAAATATCACCCATGGCCACAACCGTCTACTGTACACTGCTACCATACCAAGTTTCAAAGAGATTGGTCACAAAATATAGGAGGAGCTTGCCGGACAAACAAAAGTTTACGCCGGACGGACACCCCATACCATAATACTCCCGTCAAATTTGACAGGCATATAAAAAGGAGAAAGATATTCAATTTTCTTCTATTTCCCCTATTGGGCCTCACATGCACATTTTTATACAAATTAAACAATTTGAGTTTTTTTCCCTAAGCATGCTTGACCACATTTGGTTTAAATCCCTTCATTTGTACAGAAACTTTGCCCCAAATTTGAGCAGAGGATTAGGCACAAGTTATATCAACTTATCAACGCCTTTTCCTCTAATACAGTACATATTGATATTTACATGATAGCATTTAACAAGGCATACAAACGATACTTTACAGAGATAAATGCAGCGGACATCAGTTCTAATATTTTCCAGTTATTTTTCATCCTTCCGGAAATAACCGATGAAGGCCGATGGAGTGTGATATGTTTGTGATGTCACAGTATGATAATCTCGGAACAAAGTGTCATGCCTGCTAGTATCATTATGTATGTGATAGATTTTTTTTCACTTTGAATGTATATTAGTTTTATCTAAATAAACAAGTAATAAAATATGAGGATATTGTTTTGACTATATGAAGATGTTCATGTATGGGTTGAAACACAATTGTCTTTGCTTCAAGGAAACACTTCCTGTTTCCCCACTGGACCTCTACTTCCGAACGATTTTTTTTAAAGGAAACGTGGAGCAAGGGGAATCAACTCTGTTTAGGCACGCATGTGTTACCATTAAAGAACTTTGCTAGGGCCCCAAAAACAGGCGCCCAAGAGCTACTCTCTTATAATCCTACCTGTATACAAATACTTTTCTGGCCACAGATGACAGTTATCCTACCTAAAGTGCACGAGTCCCCAAGGTAACCGGAAACACACCCTGCAGTACAAAATCCCGTCACTGAGTCACATTCTACTCCTGCGCAATTAATTGGACAAATATTCTCACAAGTTGGTCCAAATGTTCCCGGTGAACACCCTGCAATTACATGTTTAAAAGTAATGTTATAGAAACCGATTAATATCAGTTTTTATTCCCACAAACAAAAGTCAGATAAATGTTAATAAATATGACACATATTTTAAAGAATTTCCTAGTGGAGGCCAGGAGGGCCAATAAGCGGGGCAGCATATTAGATTGTGTATCCCAATTCAAGAAACTTAAAAGAGTTCCTAAGGGTATGGGCAGAATCCAAAGTCCAATGTCTGTATAGCACTTTCATGCTCAGCAATAGTGTCTTACTTACAGGGTGCAAAATCTCAACTGTTTCAATGTAACTGTGTGGCACAAAGACTTAAGTCCCAATGAGCAGGGCATTTAATCTGATAGCATGATTGTTGTGAATCTTAATGTCCAGCAATAATTGTATATAGAACTGAACTGGTTGTATGTGTTGGGGATCTCATGTTATGACCGAACAACTAAATTCTCTTCAGGCAGGCCCTATAGCGCCACTCCTGGTAGCATAATTGTGAATATAAAACAAATCTTCATACTCAGCAATTTAGGATGAGGATCTCATTTCAACTATTAACATGTTCGGACCCAGGGACTTAATCTGTAAGGGTGGGGGCAGATCCCAGGCCAGTTTTGGTATTATTTATATATACATAAAACACGCATCATTTCATAACCTGATGGGGGTGGGGGGTAGGCAGGAACTCAACAGTTTGAAACATATGATATCCCTGTACTTAAGTATAATGATTATACAATTTACGCAGCAATTCGGCAATGAATGTGGACTATAGAATCTGGCGCATCCATAATCTCCATGCTTTAGATACCATAATACCATGTTTCATACAGCTTCTGAAAATGCTGATTTGTAATTCCATAAGTCAAGGCTTAATTTTACCACATTTATACATACCCTCTGACCCTAATTACTCTTGTTGAAGCAACTGTTATTATTTCCATAACATAACTTGTCCCGACAGAGTTTGATACAATTATGTTTAAATAAATATCAATAGCTTCAATGCAACTCAGGCAGCATCTACCTTTGTAGGGATCTCAGCTATTTTTATATTATGACCACATGTTCACAAAAGTCGGATGGACCAAGAGGCCAATCCTGGCAGAATACCTGTATCTGTCTAATTCTTATGCCCATGAATTGCATCATTATAGCCTAATTATAGGACAGGAATCTCAACAATTTCAAAGTTCTATTTTTGTTCTTGCCCCTTCATTTTCATATTATAATACCTACCAGTCCCTTTGGGCCAAATTATAATGCCAATCAAAAACTTTCTAAATGGTAGAACAAGCAGTCTCCAACTAAAATACTAAAATGCAAGTAATACTACTTAAATGGTTAAAAAACAAATGACAGTGTCATATATCCAACATTTGGGAAAGTAGAGCAGATTGGGGTTAATCATCAACCGTCATTCAGTTTTGGTATTTAAATGTTATTTTTAAGGGGAGAAAATCAATGAAACATGAGAATAATGTTCAGGATGTCGTTTGACTTTCCTTTAGTTTAGCTTTAGTTTCTCATTATTTCAATCATCCTAAGTTTAACTTGTTGACTAATGTGTAGAATTGCTGTGATATATTACCCTGTAAACAAACTTTTAAATCTACATTAAGGGTGCCAGTAATGTTAACACAAAGGATTTCAAATGTAACCCTGAAATATAATTTTTGTTTATTTTGTATAAAAGGGTTTTCACAGCAATCCTAGAGAAACCAAAATTGCAAAGGTTATAATCATAGCCCTTTATAATAGTGTATTTTCATTCCACCCCATAATGGGAAATCTTTAATTTACATAAAGATGTTTTGGTCCTTTTATATAGATCCCTTAACATGAAAAAATGGTGTAATATGTACCCTTTAATATAGGTTTTTACATACCAGTATGGTCATTTTTTTTCCATTTTTTTTTTAATAGTTGTCTTTTGAAGACATGATTTGTTTTTGCATTGAAGTTTTAAATCAATGGTTGCCACAGTGTACCCCTTACTTTCATACTTTGCAGCTCTCCCTTTTATGAGGGGGGGACTCCCGATTTAGGACCCCAAATTTCCTATTTTCTAAGAAATGATGATTTCACCTGAAAAAGAATAGCTCATAAGATGTCATATTAAAGTGTTAGTTTTTCCTTAGGTGTTCATCAACACATTTTATTTATTGCTTTTAATTTTGAGTATGTGTAATTATCTCCCACAAGGAAAGTTAAAAAAGTTGTAATGTAAAATAATTCAATGTAAAAGAGAAGTGTTCTTTCCATTAAGGACGATTTACAATGGATACTATTCGGTGCCATTTGTACTAATTTATTTAAATTCATTATTTACACTGACAGGGGAATTTAAGCATGCACCTATAAATGATTTTTAACATCACTGGGGATTTCCGTGTTGTCAGTGTTCAGAGCTAAAGAATCAATTATTAACACCGCTATTGATGTCCTGCTTTTGGGCAACCTCATTTAAACGACCCAAATATTAAAACTTGTTACCTAATGCACCATGTCCAAAGTAGAGCATCAACCAGAAGCTGCTGATCAATGGCAGATACAGGAAAATCAAGAATGCCATATCTGAGTTTTCTGCCCGACTCGA